TCTGCTAAAGAAGCTCTAAAAGGACCCTTTTTCATTTCCTTTGCAGGTTGCCATTAAAAATCTCCTAACTGCACAAATGTTTTTTTTCAAGGACAAGATGGTGCTTTCCAACACAATCAAAATTTCTTCCAAAATTGGTGATGGTTTTTGTCCTTCATTAATCAGTATACCTTTTAAGATCATTCCTTTACCCATATGTGGTGCAGTGAAGCCCTTCTTCACAAGATCAATGTGAAAAAGCCCCCTAGGCTTTTATCTGGAGCAGACTGCTTACAGCCTTTGTGATGACTTTCTAAGAAATCCAGTCTTAGTTCTTGTGCAGTTTTGAATGAAAAGATTATTGAATTCTATCTAGCATCACTGTAGCTGCTAGACTCCACAGAGTAAGGAGGGAGATGTAAAGCTGTGGTATACATGACTAGGGCATGACAGCCTCAAGGGTGGTACAGCAGCCTTTCTCTCTCTGCACTGAGGCACAATAAATGTGTGTTTCTCCTAAGTATCTTTACAACAAGCTGATACGTAATATCACAATTGAGCACAAACTGTACATGTATAAGCATGTATGTTTTTATATAGTTATAATGTAGCATAAAATTACTATTACTCAAGATGCTGGTTCACTGTGTTTTTTGTCACACACTTCCTATTGCAGACTTTTTCAAGTTTTTCTTTCTTTAACAAATCTGGAGCAGTTTATTTTTCCAGAATGGAAATCTATCCAAATGGATATCTTCAAAGATGAAATTATTCATTTCCTATCATTGTTTTCATTGAGGAGATACAACTTGACAGATTACCGCTTCCCACAGGAATGGGGACTCCAAAATTTGAATATATTTATATTGTTCATCTGTTTCTGTTTTAGAATAATATCACTCCGTACTAGAAAAAGAACTGATTCTAAGAGCACAATAGTCTAGGTCCTAAGCAAGGAGTGTTGCAGAATATCCCCTGCTGGGATTAATATTCATCTTCTGGCTAAGGTGTTCGTGTACATTCAAGTTCTTTAGAGTGTTGTAATATGGAGTATGATGTCTTCCAGGTCAGGCTCTATGCCATGCCACACAAGCCCCCAAGATCAAGAACCCAGTGTTAAAATAAAAGAACATTTGAATTTTATTAACTATATTTAGGTTCATATACCATGTCCATCACCAACATGTACCACCATTGCATACCAGAATATTATAATTAATATAATACTCAAAGTATAATTTAAATGTTCTCTGATGGCCATGGTTAAGTAGCAAACCACTAAAAGATGAAATTACTTACTGCATGCTTGATTGATAGAACTGATACTTGCCCTGGATAAAACATAAATATTGCAGAAAATAATCTGATATGACATTTCTGGCATTCTGCTATGACTTAAATTATAGACTGGTCAGTAAATGATCTTAAGCTGTTTAAGGTTTCATCAGCTGTCTGCAAGATTGATTTTCTTCAAAATTACTGTACTGAAAAGTTTTCTTTTGTTGTTGTACTGACTCAGATCTCAAACCACAATTTTAAGATCGGCTCTTATTTACAAAAATGCTTTGACATAGTGCATTTGTTCAGCCGAGGCAGCAATAAAGTATTATGGTATCATTTTGAAGAAGGTTGTTTGACAGAGTCTGTTTATTTATTTGAAGTAATGTGAGCTGCATTCAGAAAATGTCATATTTTGTTTCATGATTGTGTACATTTGCTCCCACGGCTCCCAGGCAAGCCCTGTAAGCAGAGAAGACATGGATTTAGACCTTATTTCCATGATCAGTGGAAGTGCTTTGACTCAGAACAGAGAAAAAAATAATCAGCCACACAGACACTCAGCAGGATCTTCAAGTAAGTTGTGGTTTCTTTCAATATGCACTTAAAATATGTTGATGGATCTGAATGTCGAACTGCATTCTCATAGAGACAGGATAGGATGCCAGCCATCGGAATTTCTTGTAACATGTATATTTGTTTCTTTTTTACCTGAAACTTTCCCTTTATGTTTTAGATATTTATATAGAAAAACTCTTAATCACATCAGAAAATTAACATTATTAGATTTTTGTCTTAGTTAATTGTAAGCTGTTATTCTCCTGTAAGCTATACCAAATCCTTTGATCACTCATTTCCTAAAAACTGATTTTGTCTAACTCTTTAATTATGAAATGAAAGTTTTGTACTTCTAAAGAACTGATTTTTTATTTCTTCCATAAATGTTAATTTAAAATATTTAAGGGAAAGTTAATTTATATAACCACCGAATGCCCAAATCACTGCGAATTTTGCCATGAATTCATTTATTAAATTGGGATGAAGGTAGTGATGATGGTTGCATTCTAATAACAAATGGTATTTTCAAAATTCTGAGGACAATTATCACAGTGTAAATAGCATAGAAACAAATAAGAAAATCAACACTGGAAATAAATGTTCTAATAATGATTAAAAATAATGAAAAGTTTAACTTTTAAGCTTCAAACTTTGATTTACATAGTAAAACTAAAAGAGGAAAATTCAGAAATCATCTGTTTTATAAATATATTGCATTCCATATGCTATGTATACTTTAGATGTAGATTTTGGAAAATGTGATTTTCAAGCATAAGTGAAAAAGACAGCATAGGAAGTGTAAAGGTATTACAAGATTTATGTAGATTGTGTATGCCATATTACTGTATAGCTAGTGGAGTTCATTGAGATTGTTCATATAATTGTAAAATAGGCTATTTCAACTAAAAGTAAAATAGTTCATTGGATATTTTGATCAGACTGTTAACACTGATATTAATATTTATTATTCTGTTTAATTGTAACTTGAACCAAAAATAATGTGGAAAGTCCATTAAACTGATGTCCTTAAAGAAGAAAAGTAGATATAAAAGCATAAGAGAAAATGTTTTATCTATATTTTGCTACTGTAATTTAAAAAAACAAACAAAGGGTGAAATGAAGATACAACTGGAATACAGTCAGTCACAGAATCCAGTAAGGGTTAAAAAAATGCCTCTAATTCAAATCAATTGCAAAAGTTCCACTTTATGAAAAGAAGTAAAATTGAACCCCTGTGTTCATAAGTAAGTGTAAAGTGATACAAAGTCCTGTAATGAACATTTAAATGAATTGTTCATAAACAAACACATGTATAATGAATGCATCTTAGGTATAATTCAATTACAAAATTAAATACAACTTATCTTGAACAATATATACATAAAAATCTTAAAAATATATAGCAATTGTGGCCTTGATTGTAATCCTAGCCCTATGTGACCACCCTGGAAAACATATGGGGAGGCTGTATTATCTTCATCGCAGATATGTAGCTTTTTCTCAAGTGGGGAATTGGGCATAAGGGGGAGAACAAACACCACAAGTCACTGCTCCCCTTCACAAACAAGTGGACAGGAAGCAACAAAATGCTGGCAGAGCCATGTTGTGGTTGACTGAGAAAGATGGGGATGGAGTATGCTGTGAGTGGTAATATGCCCCTTCCTCCACCACCCTCCTTGCATAACCCAGGAACTCATGGAAAATTGTGATTCATAGTGGTTTCTTATTTGTGTCTGGGATGTTGATTCCAGTTTAGACAAAAATACAAATGAAGAGTCTCTTTGCTTGTCCTCCGTTGGCCTTCATTCACACCCCTCCATTGTCTCGAGTGAGTACCATGTTCCATGGTCACATTTATTGTAACTAAATACTATATTTAAGAGAAAGAAACATATGGGGTCTTGGACTCAGAGAGGCAAAAAGCCTCTTATCTCTCTGAATTTGTCTTTCCTACCTTTTTCTGTACCCTTTCCCTCTCACTGGCTCTGAGGTCCTACTACACATCACATCTTTCCATCATGCTTCTGTGAGCCACCTTTCTCTTTCATTTATTTTCTTTCTCGTGTCCCTTCTTTCTTTCTTCTCCACACCATATTTATGTATTTCCCTTTCCTTCTCCTGTGTGTGGGAGAGAAGTAACTTGTGCTCCCATTATGCCTCTGTAGTAAGGCACAAAAAGATGTATCCCACTTTTAATTCTTACCTCTCCTATCTATATGCTAGTCTCTTCCTGAGTCCCTGATTAAGGAAAGAATCACTTCTCAGGCAAACAAGTTTACCTTAATCAGATGCCTAAATCCTGACACCAGGGGCAGATGAGAGTTTTGCGGGGCTCAGGGCAGCACAATTTCACGGGGCCTCCCTTTGGAGAAAAAATAGAAAAAAGGTGTCAAATGTGCAAATTGAAGGCTATTTTCATATTAAATGTGAATTGGGTAAATTTGACAGAAACTTAATTTAGTTGGATAATTTTTATTTTAATTATATTGTAAGTCATTCTTAAACAAAATTCTGCATTAATAATTAAAAAATTTCATTTGTATTTGTCTCCTCCCCCTCCTGCCTCTCTCTCTCTCTTTCTCTTCTCCTCCTCCTCTTGCATCACTCTCTCTTTCTCTTCTCCATAGTCCTCCCCCTCCTGCCTCTCACTTGCGGAGCCCAAACAGCTGTTTGGGCCTCATGCGGTGTCCCGGCTGAGCGGTGCAAACTCAACCAAGCGCCACGGCGGGAGGTGAAGGGGGGTGGGATGATGATGTACATGGCCAGAGGGCGGGACCTGGAGCCTCTGTCACTCTCTTTGCCTCCCATGCCCTGGCCATGTACATCACTGCCCCACCTCCCTTCACTTCCCGCCGTGGCACTCAGCTGAGTTCTGCACCGCTTAGTTGGGATGCCATGCGGGAGCAAGCGGCTCAAGAGTGGGGCCCGTTTGGGCCCTGCGTGGCGGCTCAGCGCGGGGCCTATTACAGCTCGGGCCTCGGGGCAGCCGCCCCACTGGCCCTGCCCTATATCTGCCATTGCCTGACACTTCAATATCTTCACTCTTTTCAGAATCTACTCTAGACTTATTGACTCCACTGCTAAACCTTTCTCCATTTCCTGGGAACTCCTCACCTAAATTACTTCTCTACATCAGTATATTGTGAAATTAGAATAATAGAATCCTCGAGCTGGAAGAGACCTCAGGAGGACCTCCATATTTGACCCTGTATCTTTAAAGACATCTATAAACTTATAACAGTATAAAAATGTTATTAAGAGTAATAAAATGCACAAAATGGCAAAGTCAAAGTTGCCATGGAAACATTAATTTTGAATATCTTGGGTTTTCCATGCTATACCAGATGAAGTACAGTAGCATCAGTGTTCTGGACCTATGAACGAGAGGCATTTCAAACATCTGCCTTTACTTCATTGATCTACTCTAGACAGTAGAAATACAGCACGCTCATTAATAAGTGAAGAATGTTGATGAATGATTGAGTTGTGTCTGACATCAAAATTACATTAAAGAATGACATTGAATTGGCTCTGATTGTAGTAAATTCCAAACATTCAATAAAATTGCTTAATAAAATATGCCTTTTTCCAGGGTTGAGGTTTTTTGTTTTTGACTGTATGGAGAACTTTTGACTGTATGGAGGTTTAGTAACAAGCCATTGGAAAGACATAAAAGATTCTGAAACTCAACATAACTGAGGAAAGAAATCTTTAAGGGATTATTTTAATTGTAACTGCTTAACAGCTCACTTGAAAATAGTCCTAAAATTCACTCTTCATTCACAGTTTAAATGCTGTAAATTTGGAGAAAATATAGTATATTTGTCATATAGCATAAGTTCTTTTACCTTACCTTACATCCTTACATTAAATTGAACCCTGTCTTGCCTCTGGGATTACAACTATTGCCATCATAATTAAAAGTAAGGTGGATAACTTCAATAGGCTTATAGCTAAGTGAAATATCCGCATGTATGTTGGCATTCCATCAAACAGAGGCTGTGATGATAGAACAGACGAGTATACAAAATGTAAATGTGGGATGACCGGGAAATGTTCTGTGATTCTGACATGCTTGAAGTCTTGATAAACTTAATACCTAGTAGAATGGTATGGGCACCTAGAGAAAATCTGATAATTTTAAATATACTTTTATACTTCATTTTAATAATTACCTTTTTCGCTTTATGTCAGCTCTGTGTATTTAGGGTTATATTGTAATCTCAACTATAATCAACATTGAGATTTTACATATATGTACTTTTTTCCACTGTGACTTATGATATTGATAAATGTTAGTTTTATTCTTAATATTTAATATCAGCAATAATAAAAGTTGCATATTAGTATAGCTATTGTTCAGTTTATTAAAGTGTTCCTGAGGTACTATGTATGAGAAAACACAACACAATAGAACTCATTCACAGAAACTTTGAGAGATACAGAAAATATGATACAAATGAATTGTATCACTGGGCTATATTATAGCTACTTAAGAGACAGTGTGGTCTAATAAAGTAAGTATTGGAGTGGGACTCTGCCACTACCTTCTAGGTGACCTTGGGGAAGTCGCTTCCCCTCTCTACACCTCAATTTCTGTTCATGTTAAATGGGGATACTGACAAAATACGTAAAGTGTATTGATAGCTAATTATGAAAGCTTGATAGTATTATTTTGTTAACTGCCTAGAGCAGCATGTGAGAAAGGGAGCAAGTAAATATTAATTATGTTTTTCAAGCTCATTGATGAGTTGGCTCAACTGCCTGAAACCTCCATGTCAAGACAGGGATGAGTGTTCGCAGGGAGGATTGAGAAACTAGATTATTGGCTTTTAAAACACGTTTCATTATATATAAAAATATCACAAATAAATAGTTGCAATTTAAGGTCCCAATCCTGCAAACACTTAAACATCTGAATATATTTATGCATATGAGTATTCCTTCAGAGGTCAGTGAGAGTACTCATGTGCATAAACATTTATAGCACATGGGCTGAAGTAACAAAAATATTTAAA